CGCTGTTACAAGCTGCGTATACTACAAAATGTCCGTCGACTTTTATCATTTTCTTTGGTTTCGTTGGTTTTGGTTGGCGTCGAATTTTGTTTTGGTCTCCATCTTCACCTCGCCTGGCAGTCCCTAAATTACAATAAGACATGCAACTAAATATGCATAATTTCCTTTGCGTTAGATTTTCATAATCATTGAATTGAATTATTATATATTGTTAAGCCTTTCTAGCTTTACGGGTAGTAATAGAGAAACGATAGAGAAAGTAAAGAGTGCTTACATAGGATTCGTATATTTAGAAAAAGCTTCTGACAATGTTAAATGGGATAAAATGTTAAACATACTTAAAAATGTAGGCATGAGTTACAGAGATTGAAGAGTGATACTTAGTTTGTAGAAGACGCGATCAACCTTATTAAAGACGGTACAACTGTAGGAATTAGTATGCTTAGATTTGCAGATGATATAGCAGTATTAGCATCTAACAGGGAGAAGTTAGATATAGCTTTAAATAAAATGGAAGAGGTGTTGACAAAACAATATTGTATGAAAAAAAAATAAAAGTAAAACAAAATACTGGTATGCAAGGGAAGAAAAAATAGGGAAAGAGCGAATAGAAAGATAGGAAACGAAAAATTAGAAAAAGTGGCTGATTTTAGGTATTTAGGAAGTCAGATAGGTACGTTAGGAAGGAGTATTGGGATATAAAGCAGATAGATAGACCTAGAATAAATTATTGTTCGCAAATAGTTAAGGATGTGGGTTGTTCTAGTTTTAGAAAAATGCGAAGATTAGCTCAGAATAGGTAGGAGTGGAGGTGCGTGTACAACCAGCCTTAGGACTGACGACCTTACGATGATGATGAAAAGGACAATGAATACTATTTCGTAGAAAAACTCAAAAGTTTTTCGCAAAAGAAAATGAACCATCTTATCTTTGTTATCTTGGGCTATATTATCAATCATATTTCATTAGAATATAAAAGAAATTCGAAGAAATTGCTAATGATTACAAGTAATTTACATCATTAATTTTGATGTGTTTCCCATAAAACATTTACGTTTTTTATAAGCAGATGGATCTTAGTATTAAACATAAAAAGTACATAGCTTGCAAGGGTTTTTAAAAATATTTGAAGCTTGATGAAATACCTGCAAAAAACACGGATCCATCTTCAGTCAACAGAATAGCATGCAAACCATCGTGACCCACAGCAACGTGTGTCACTTTGGGTGCCTTTGTCAGAACTAATTCAGACCATTTCCCATTTCTTATACGAGTTTGTTTAATACCAAGCGAAGAAGCTTTACCGCAGTACAAAACCTTATTACAGAAATAAAATTTAAAACAATTCCAATGCCATCATTAAACATATAAAGTTATACTTTTCCTGACGAAGTCCTAATCAATCCAAATTCTTTTCCTGCGCAGATAGACGCAATTTCATCATCAGTTCCAGTGTTAACTACTTGAGAAGCGCCATCTTCTTCAAATGGAGCAGTTCCAAGAATTTCCACACATCTATGGGCTAATTTTAAGGGAAGTTCGTTCACTAGGGATGCTGGTATGGAATTCGGATTCAGTGTTCTTACCACAAAACCATCCTTAAATAGTCGAATAGTTTGGTAACTGAATTTGGTTAATTTAAGTGGTTGGTACTCACGTCTTTGGTAGGAGAAATGGTACCTAAATATTCTCCGTCAGAAAAAATAACGGAACTAACGGAGTCTCGGCTGTGTAAAGGGAGTGAGCCACAAATGAGTAAACCTTGTCTTTCTACTGTTAGGAATTCTCCACCTCTTCTTCCAATTAACTTTAGATATAGATTTTCCTAGTGGATGGAACATGTATTTAATATTTTTGTCAATCGTTTAACGAATTGTTACACATATTTTTCTAATAATTATCCAGAAAGAGAACTGAATCAAATTGTAAACTCAGGGAAACTAAAATTCATTAGATTGTGATCGACTAAATAAGTCTTTGTCAACACGAGTTACAATGACAAAGACTTGGGAGGTCGAAATATTTGCAGAATATTAAAATTGGATAATGGAAAAATGGAATGAGATAAGGAGAAACTTTTAAACAATTATTATTCCTTACATAAATCACTTTATTGTTCCTTAAGAAATTTTTTGATTATTAACCGTGAGGTAAATATTCTTGGGATTCTAAAAAAGTTTCTGACATTCAAGGAAAAGGCCTGTCTTACATTATTATATCGACTTGATCAGTGGTTCGTAGAGACTGCCTATGGCGTGCTGATGAGATCTAATAAGACCGAAATCGCAATCTGTTGACTTTTTTGTAATATATTTATTGATTTTTTTTTACTACAGCCTCAAGTGGTTTGATTTTCGGATTTTGGTTTGCCATTTTAGACTCCTTTGATCAGTAATTTTTGATTAGACTCGCATTTCGATAAAGTTTAATTTAATTCCCAATTGTATTAAATGAAGAAAATACTTCAAATTTGTGGTTAAATACTAATTTAAAATGATTTGTTTCATCTTTACTGTATATCAAGCATGTATATAAATGTTTATTACATTTGGAAAACGAAACTGCAATTAACAATTATTAATTTCAATTTATACAATCGTTGTCGTTTTAACTGGTTTCTATTAAATTAATTAACCAAAAGCATTTAAAATAGAAATTTATCGTTTCGTTTCAAAGTATAAATTATTTTCTTTAACTAAAAAATTCATTATGCAGTTGACTTCATTTAATTATAATCATATAATTTATTTAGGTGGCATTAGTTTAGTATGTTAACAATAATTTATTGTTATAGATTTATTGTTTAGGTTCATATATGTATTTTAATGTGCATTTAGTATTAAAAACATAAAAATAAAGACTTCACTAATTGCAAGTGCTCAAAAGCAACACCAAATTAAAAAAAAGCAGAATAAATAGAAAATAATAAATAAAAACTGTTTAATTAAATAACTGCAATACAAATGTGAACTACAAAAATAAAAATAAAAATAAGCTTTATAATACGTTTTTTATTATCAAATGTAACCCTTACCCCACAAAATACAAGTGTTCCTTTATCGTTTGGATAAAAATCCGGTTTATAAAAATAAACGTGTCCCTTTATAGTTCCTCCATAGCCCGAACCAATTTTGAACAGTCCTTTGTTGGTAAATAAATACAGGTACTGTCCATCACTGGCAAGAGATTTTAAGGCGAGGGGCGAACTATGAACTTCAGAGGGGATTGCTGCAATAAAACTATCAATTTTTGAATTGTTGGGAACACCACAAGTTAACCAATCAGGTCTTGCAACCTTTCCCAATAACACACTTTGGATACTTCGTTGTAAAGATGTTAAAACAGCTGGCATCTACGAAAATAATTTAGTGAAAATATCGGAGCATCCACAAAACAAGAAAAAAAAGCAGTGTTCGGTGTCGATATGTTTCCTTATTTGTATATTTTCAATCGTGGTTTTAGTTTGTATTTATTTTTCGTATATATCTGTATGTTATGATTTCTGTTACCAATATTTAACATCCAATTGGGCATACAAACAGCTTTGGGGCCTCTATATTACACCCTTCAGGTATCAAACGTTGGGAAAATCTCATTCGCTAACTACGTCACGTCTGGCTTTCTCTGGGTACCTGAAGGGTGCATAGCAACAACCAAAGCGTTGACCAAGGGGTCCGTTTTACTTTCTATGGTCGTTTCCTGTTTTTGTGCAGACTATTTAAGTCCTGGACAACAAAATTCAATAGAGATTCCAGTTGAACTACACCAATTAAAGTCAAATTTTATTCAAGGCCTAAAATTGATTCAATGCAAGTAAATGCCAAGAATTTTTTTAATTCAATTTTAAGTTACCTTGTGTATAGTACAAACCCAATCATTTTGTGTAAATAGTGTAAATAAATTGTATATAGAAAAGCAGTCTTTTAATATTGAAGTATGTAAGCAAAAGAGCCTTCGGCGGGATTCCGCCACATACGTTATCAAAAGCAAATTCAACTCAAACAAATACTGTTTGAAAAAATTTACTTAAGTAGCTTACAAGCCTCTGTCATGGTTTTCATTAACTTATACAGTAAAACTTATAGTAATTCTTTGAGACTATGTTCATATCCAAAGTTTACCCAAACAACAAAATGTCATCAAAATATCGTTAGAGCTACAGAGTGGGTCAATTAGACCAGAGCCCAATTTATGCCCCTCCATATTGTTGCGACATGACGCTCAAAGAATTTTTATTTACTACTCCTTATCAATAACAACAAAAAGAAAGTTTCTGCTATATTATACTTTCCTTCATATTGCATGACTTTTGATGCTTTTGATTTTAGATCAAGATAAGTAAATGTACGACTCTAAATCGTTAACATCCATTAGTAAATCAAGAAAAGATAGTTTTGCAATAAAAATGGTTTGGCATTTAGGATTCCCATACCAAAGACATTGCTTAAGCCCAAGTTTAGAATCGTTAGATACTCACTTTTACATTTTGAAGTGCAAGTGCTCTTGGACACATCAAGAGTGCTGCTGTGGCAGATAAGAATTTTCCAGTGTTTCCTCTTACCACGACTAAAGACAATAAACAGGAACATGCTATTGCTGTCAGATGAGTTCCGTCATTTGCTACAGAACTCTCTGGTCCGTGTAATGTAGCTAAATCAAGTAGAAGTTCGAAAAGAGGATCAATTACCTCGACTGGCTCGGATTTCAACCCTTCAGGACATTGTCCTTGCAGAACATCTAAAAGTGCCGAAAGAGCTTTTGAACAAAGAGAAGGATGCGAGGATCTGCTTTCTTTTATAAGTTCAAAAACTGATCTTAGTCCAAAACCGACTATTTTGGAAACTTTAACCGGTACATAAGTGGAACTTGTTTGAGAATTATCTTCTGTATCGCTGTCCATTTCGTTATTGCGATCGTGTAAAGTGGCCACACAGCTGCTCTGAAGATATTCTTGATTTGCTTGCCGCATCCATCGGTCGAGTACCGCCAAACGTACCGAAGCATACACGGCAAAAGCTGATGGATTGTTTGGCAATTCGATTTCTGGCGGAGAATGGAAATCATTGTCGCACGAGAGCTCAAACTTTGACTTCTGTTTGATTTTAGTACATTTTTTCCGCTCCTTCTTAAGGTCTCGCCTTTTCCTGAAACAACAATAACACTTGTACCGGTTAACACGTTCTTAAAATTAAACATTTTAGACGGGTTGATACGCACTTTAAATTTTCCGAATAAACTCGGTACATATCATGAAAACTTTGGCTGAAATCGTGCTCTGGCAGCATGTTGATTTTGTACTTTTGCGAGGGTGAGTTTCGGCATGAATGGAGGGTCACGTTAGAGATATCGATTTGCTAAGGGGATGATTCATCAAGCTATTATACGATCTCATATGTTAGTGTTAACATTATTTCACGAGTTATTTACATAAAACATGCGCAGTGGATTTCCAAAATACATTGCATGTGAATTATCTATTAATTTGTTTTTGTTTTCGAATTTAAATTTAAAATTTTTTAAACAAACAACCTTTCTTAACAACACCTGCATTTAAAGCCATCGCCGTTAGATGACGCCAACATCAATAAAATCCGATTAATTTATGTATTAATTAGGACTTGTGTTTTAAAACTGAATGCAAGATGGCGCTAGCAGTATCCATATCGATTTGATTTATACGATACGCGGTATATTTCACAAAGTTATTTATACTTATTTCTGATTTTGTCAAACAAAAAGTTATTCAAATTGTTGCTGTAATTTAAAGAAATAATTTCTATACATTTATTACATCAGTCATATACTTTAAATACAAACATATCACATTATTAAATACTAACACTTGCTTATTAAATTATTTAAAAAATGTAAAGTTTGTCGTTATTGTATTTTTTTAACAGTTTCTCCATTATCCATTAAATATTTATGTAGATCATAGAAAGAATAAAATTTATGGTTTTCATCGATTTTGTCCTCATTTTGACTAGATTTGTCAGGAAGTAATACTAAAGCTTTCCATCCCGCTCTTGTTGCACCAACATAATCTAAGGGAATGGAATCCCCTATATGCAGACATTCCTCAGATTTCAAGTCCTCTATACTGGATGCTTTGATGGCTTCCTCAAATATTCTGGGATGAGGTTTTTCAATACCAGCTTCATAGGATGTTACAACAAACTTGAAGTAGTGCCTTACTTTGTTATTTATTAATGTTTCATGAAGTCTAGGATCAATGTTTGATATCACTCCTAATGTTACCCCTTTGTGCTTTAAATAAGACAGTAAATCTAAAGCTCCTTGTGTAACCTTCCAGCAACTTCTCTGTTTGTACTCTTCTATCAGATGATTAGCAATTGTATTTAGTTTACCATCATCAATGGGCACTTCACACCCCTTAAAGGTATGAAGTACTATCTGTCTCCACCAATTTTCCCAACCCAGTCCAGAATGACGTCCGTAATTTGGATGTTCTTTGATCATTTTTCGCCAATGACTTCGAAAATTTTCGTTTAGTATGTTATGATCACACTCAATGCCGTACAATGACGCGATCTGGGCATATTTTTTGGATGGGTGAACGCTGAAGTTTAACAAAGTACCGGTACTGTCAAAAGTAATTAGACGGATTTTGGAAAATAGCATTTTACGTTGTTTTTAGGTTAACTTACAAAGTTCAAACAGCGCAAGGTCGTTCATCGGCGTTAACTAGTCGTATCCTAATCGTAAAATGAAAATAACAGCGCAGGCATGACGGTTTGCTAACGATGCCAAGATGCTTGTGTTGCTGTCGCACGTACTACAGACTGTCAGTAATTAATTTTTTTTAACTGTAATACGTCTCATGAATCCACTGGAAGTAATATTTTTTTGTTTAGTGTTTGTCATTTAATCTTGGTCTTGCATATTCGGCCTTGGTTTTAGTTTTGGTCTTGTTAGTCCAATTTTGGCCTTGGTCATGCTAGATAATGTTCTTAGTCTTGGTGTTGGTCTTGCAAAAATGCAGATTTTGCTCACCACTAATCAAAATTAGATCTTCCCAACTTTACATCTACTTATTGAAGTAGTGACACATGACTTATATGTACATAAATATTTGCATTTCTCGGTCAGACTAGTCAATTTCCTCTGTATCTATTCCTTATTTTATTTTAGAAACGGGAAAGAATTCGTTTCTTATTGCTTGGTAACAGAAAAAGGTTGTTAAAGGTGTATGTTTGGAGCGCGGCGTTGTACCAGTGCGAAACATGGACAGTAGGCGCGGCGGAAAAGAAAAAAGTTAGAAGCCTTCGAAATGTGGTGTTATAGGCGAATGATGAGGATACCGTGGATAGAAAAGGTTAGAAATGAAGAGGTATTGGAAAGAATAGAACAGAGGACTCTATGGAAGTCAATAAGAAATAGGCGAGATAGGTTGGTAGGACACCTTCTCAGGCGTGAAGGTCTAGTCAGAGACATATTAGAGGCAGAAACAGGAGTTAGGAGGGGTAGAGGTAGACCTAGATTAGATTACTGTTCGCAAATAGTTAAGGATGTGGGCTGTTCTAGTTTTAGGGAAATNNNNAAGTCAATAAAAAATAGGCGAGATAGGTTGGTAGGACACCTTCTCAGGCATGAAGGTCTAGTCAGAGACATATTAGAGGCAGAAACAGGAGTTAGGAGGGGTAGAGGTAGACCTAGGTTAGATTACTGTTCACAAATAGTTAAGGATGTGGGTTGTTCTAGTTTTAGGGAAATGCGAAGTTTAGTTCAGGATAGGAAAGAGTGGAGGTGCGTATCCAACCAGTCTTAGAGCTAACGACCCTATGATGATGATGATGAACATGATCAGAAGGTTATGGTAACATATACCTATAACAATACAAACGAAGTGAATGTCATCGTGGTCATCTCCTTTATTTTGTTTTAACTTCTTTCTGTGCATAATACATAACAGCTACATGAATACATAAAGTCAAAGGAAAAACTCTTAATTATTTTTCTTGTATAACTCAAAAGTCTATGTATAGTTCAATATTTGCACGTTTATGCCCTAGAGAGTTTCACTTTAAGCAATCTTTTTTTCTTTGAGATTTTCTCTTATAACGAAGCATCGTATTTTTTCTTAAAATAGAACTTTAAAACAAAAGAAAATAAATTCTATATACATATTTATATTTTTGATTAATATAATTTAAAATTTCAATATAAACGGACTTAACATTACTTTGTTTTGGTTTGCATTTATTTTACCTTTTCCAGTGTCATACTTACATAAAACCTTTTGATTTTTTGTTTCTTAAAGTATGCACAATTATTTAATTAAAAAAATAAATTACTGATGATGTGAAGGAATAGTTTTCATTTTAAAAAATATTTTAAACTTGAGGAGAATCCTAAGTCACTCACTAAAAAATTTTTGAAGAAGGCAATTTAAATATATCTTCTATCTGGGAAAAACACATAGAGTGTGAAATATCGTTTGTAAAAACTAATGCGTACTCAAATACCTGAACTTAAATTTGTTTGTTTGAAAGCTCTGCCTAATTGCGGCTCGTTTTAAACGATCGACTGAATTCATCATCATCATAAGGTCGTCAGTCCTAAGACTGGTTGGACACGTACCTCCACTCTTTCCTATTCTGAGCTAAACTTCGCATTTCCCTAAAACT